GTGTGGGTCAGCATTTTTGGGGCCGAGCAAGGAGCTCACAGCACGGGCAGGGACATGCTGGGGATCCAGTTAACCTGCTGGGCACGGGCTTGGGAGAGAAACCCCTTGGTCAGCTTCACTTGCTTAGCCCCTGCTTGCAGTGAAATCTCTGAGCTGCTCAGGTGGGTGCTGATGTCGAGAGGAGAGTACATGAAACACGAAACAGCAGCACTAGAAAAATGTTCTGGCTGCTATAAAGCACTAAAGCTGCATGCAACCTACTGTTTTTAAGCAAGGGGGTAGTTGTTTTGAGTTTCTCGCGCTCAATTTATTATTCCAAAATTAAAGAAAGACTTTTGGGAATAAATTCTCAGTTGAAGGAAGGGAAATGTTGTCCTGTGAACGCTCCCTACATGTGTGTATCTGTGAGTTGCAGTGACAGATGGCAGCTAGAGCTGCCTGCAGCTTACACTGAGCACAAGACTTCTGCAAATGCCTCTCCAGGTTTTGTTGATTTTATCTATAAAAAAACAACCCCCAAACCTTCTGGGGCTGTCCTCAGTCTGAACTTACCACATCTAGGGAGCCCAGCTTGGCCTTTGTGCTGCTTCTCTTATTGGTGAATGGTCCTTTGGGTCTTTCTTGCCTCCCCCCACCAGCCTCCCCTAGGCCAGTGGATCATTTATCTTTTGTGTCCTTGTTCCCCTCAGATCATGGAGATGGCAGCTAAAGGGATAAAGCCAGTCACCCTGGAGCTGGGGGGCAAATCCCCCCTTATCATCTTCTCAGATGCTGATCTGGAGAACGCTGTGAAGGGAGCCCTCATGGCCAACTTCCTGACTCAGGGCGAGGTGTGTGTCTGTGGGGCAGGAGTGCTCCTTCCCAGAGAGGCAGGGTAGGGTCAGGGTCGGGCAGTGGGGCCAGCCTGTGTCCTCCTGGAAGTGAGGGATGCCCTGAAGCTCCCATCCTGCCACACCTTTCCCCGTGCAGTGTCAGAAGGGATGCCCTTGCAGGAGCCCGGGCACGGTGTCCCAGTAGAGTGTGCCTTAGCCACAGGACACACTTAGCCAGTGTCCTGTCCTTCCCAGACGTGGAGCCTCCCTGGCACCAAGCACCCAGCTCAGCACAGCTGCTTCCATGCCCTGGGCACCAGTGTGGCACTCACAAGTCAGAGAAGCTGTGCTGGTGTCCCTTGGAGGGCAACAGGTTCCAGCCTGGTGTGCTGAGCCCGAGGACAGGCTTCTGTCCTTCCCAAGTTCAGGATATCCACCTGTGCTGCAGGTTTTGTGTAATCCTGTTGGCAAATTTGCTCAGCGGGGTCATTTCTGGAAGTCGGGAGTCAGCTCAAGGTCTCTGCTGCTGGTGACCTGCTGCGTTTTTGCCACCTGGTGGCATCAGAACCATGGTGTCCAGCAAGGACTGTTCAGTGCAGTCCAACCCCAGGGCAATCTCCTTGTGTTCCTTGTCCCCAGGGACAAGTTAGCTGCTTTGGAGGGGCTTTTCCAAGAGCCTCTGGAGCAGGACCCAAGCAGGGCAGGACTGTGGAGTGCTGTGTGTTCTGAGCTGCCTGTCCTGTGTCCCAGGTGTGCTGCAACGGCACACGGGTGTTTGTGGAGAGGAAGATCCTGGATACCTTCACAAAGGAGGTGGTGAAACGCACCCAGAAAATCAAAATTGGAGACCCTCTTCTGGAAGACACACGGATGGGAGCCCTCATCAACCGGCCCCACCTGAATCGTGTGCAGGGCTTTATCAAGCAGGCAAAGGAGCAGGTGAGATTGTGATGCTGCCTTGGGACTGCCCTGAAATGTCTTTCCTGCTAGACAAACACATTACCAGCTGCCTTCCTGCTCTGTGCCTTCCCAGTTAAGCTGTTTTTTTTTGTTTTTGGTTTACTCGGTGGGTGTGTTGGACCACTAGATACAGAAGTCTGTGGGATCTGATGGGATGCATCCCAGGGTCCTCAGAGAATTGGCCGATGTAGTTGCTGAGCTGTTTTCCATGATATTTGAAAAGTCATGGCAGTCAGGTGAAGTCTGAAGTACTGGAAAAGGAAAAACACTCATTTTCAAAAAGGGTGGAGGACAAGACCCTGGGAATTGCAGACCTGTCAGCCTCACCACTCTGACTGTGGAAAGATCACGGAACAGATCCTTCTGGAAGTTGTGTTAAGGCACGTAGAGGACAGGGAGGTGATTTGAGCCAAGTACAGGGTGCTGCACCTGGGTCACAGCAAGCTCTGCTATCAATCCAGGCTGGGGGATGAGCAGATGGAGCAGCCTTGCAGGGAAGTACTTGGGAGTGCTGGTGGATGAGAGGCTGGACATGCCCCAGCATGTGTGCTGGCACCCAGAAATCTCCAATGCCCTGGGCTGCATCCAAAGCAGTGTGGGCAGCAGGTGAGGGGGGAATTCTGCCCCTCTGACCTGCTCTGGTGAGACTCCACTTCAAGCTCTGGAATCCTCAGCACAGGAAAAACACGTGAGGAAAGGCTGAGAGTTGGGGTGGTGTAGCCTGGAGAAGAGAAGGCTCAGGGGACACCTGATTGAAGGGTTTCAGTTCATAACAGGGGCTTATAAGAAAGATGGAGGCAAATGTTTTAGCAGAGCCTGCTGGGGTAGGCTGAGGGCCAGCCAGAGCTGGGCAGGATGCTCCTGGATGTGCCTGCATCCCTTCCTCTCTTGTCTCTCTTCCAGGGGGCAGAGGTGCTGTGTGGTGGGGACCTGTATGTGCCAGATGACCCAAAGCTGAAGAATGGCTACTACATGCGGCCCTGTGTGTTAGGTAGGATCCATCTCAGTCGTGGTACCATGGATGTTGTGGGATTTCTCCTGAGAAATGAGTTCAGCTTTATAATCTGGCTCTGTGATGTCCCCAGCGTGGATGGACACTTGGATGGGGGTCCTAGACAGAGCTGAGGCTTCCCTGCATCCAGGGAAATCTGTGCTGTTGGAGGGCCTGACAGGAATGGTGCTGTTGGTGCTTTTGAGGTGCAGGGTGTGCCTGGCTGCTCTGCCATGCTGGGAGCTGTCTCCAAGGCTGTGTGGGTTGCTGAGTGCACAGGCTGTGCTGCTGCTCTGCCTCCTGAAGCACTTGTGCTCTGCCACGCTTCCCTTGCAGGGAACTGCAAGGATGACATGACGTGTGTGAAGGAAGAAATCTTTGGGCCTGTCATGGCCATCCTGCCCTTTGACACGGAGGAGGAGGTTGTGGAGAGAGCCAACGCCACTAAATTTGGCCTGGCAGGTGGTGTCTTCACCAGGTATGACTGGGCAGTGTTGTGGAACCATTCTGGGGAGGAGAAATTTACAGTTACTTACTGCTCCTCTTGCAGTGCCTGGGCATGGGTATCCTCTTCCAGACAAGCTGAACAAGGGATTGCAAAAGGGAAATCTGTAAATGACTGCACATCTCCCTTTTTTTCCTGAAGTGTTGGGTGGGCCCGGCTGTCCCTTGGGTTCCTCCCAGCCTGGCTTGGCCTGCTGGCTGCCTTCCTGCTCCTCCAGGATGATCAGGAGCCTGCTGTGCTGCTGTTGGCTGCTTGTCCCACTCTGTGTTGCTGGGGTCCTTGTCATGCCCTCTTGAATCAAATGCACTTGGAGCATCCTTGGGAATTGGTGCTGCCTCCTTTGAGCAGGCAAAGACAGAGTGGGGCAGGTTGGACTCCAGAAAGCAGCGTGGCCTGCTGGTGGATGCTGCCTGGCAGGGAAGGAGGGGATCCAGCTGAATTGCTCTTTTCCTGCAGGGATATCCAGAAGGCTCACAGGGTAGTGGCTGCTCTCAAGGCTGGGATGTGCTTCATCAACAACTACAACGTCAGCCCTGTGGAGCTGCCTTTTGGGGGATACAAGTTCTCAGGTGAGCTCTGTGTGACCTCCCCTGGTAGATGCCAGCTCCAGGGGCTGCGAGGGGCCACTGGCACTGCCTGGAGCTGTGTCCTCACTGCAGCTCTTCCCTGCAGGATTTGGCAGGGAGAACGGCCGGGCAGCCATCGAGTACTACTCACAGCTGAAGACTGTCTGTGTGGAGATGGGGGATGTGGAGTCTGTGTTTTAGTGCCTCTGGGGCCTGCTCAGGGCAGCATCAGGCAGCTCTTTCCTGCCAGCTGGAGATGTGGATCATGTACACAGCAATAAAGTACCCTACAGTTGTCAGTGCCTGGGGGGAAGCTGAGCTAGAGCAGCATTTAGCCACCCTGCTCCTGCAAGGGGCACACAGGGCTCAGCTCTGACCTGGCTGGTGGACAATGGGAAGCTCGGAGCAGGAGGCACCAATCTGGCTTTTGGCAGCAGCTCCTGCAGCCACAGAGGTGTTATCAGAGGCTTGTCAGTGGCCAAGGCCAGGCCCAGGCTTCCCAGGCTGTGTACCTTGATCCCCATTGCCTTCCACCCTCCATCAGCTTCATTTCTGGCCTCTTAAAAGGTAGGGCCCTACTCAATGCAGGTATAAGCTCTTGGAAACAATGATATCCTGTAACTATCCTGACCCTGCCTATTCTGTAACCACATAAAAGCCTTAAGTGTAGCATTGTTTATTCCCTCTAGACCCTTGGTAACCTCAAGGTTTGGATTTTTTCTATCTGTACCTTATTTACAAGTGGGGCAAAACATTGTGGGGAGGGTTGGGTGATTGCTGCCTGGCCCTGAGAATCACCTCTATGCCAGAGTGGTGGTGAGCTCCAGCACAGAATAGTGAAAGTTATCTCACTTCCTTCCTGTAAACTTACTGTTCTTTATACACATGATAAAGCAACAACTTCAATTGTTTTCTTATATCTTTTTTTAGCAATCAAATAAATAATTATTCTGGAACATCTTCTCAGCGTGACATGAACTGAGGGGTCCAGAAATGGGCCTGTTGCTATATGGGTTAAATGAGCTGCAAGGTGGCTTTTTGATCAGTAAAATCATAAAAGCTAGAAGGAACATCTGCCTGGCAGACAGATTTCTGTAATCCTACAAAACCAGAGTTGTTCTAGTGTTCTGCAGAGCTTTTTAAGAAAACCCTCTGTAACATTATAATGAAAATACAGAATGGACAACTTCCTTTTATTGAGAAAGAAAAGGAAAAAAAACACAGGAAGCCAAGTGTTCTAAAAGAAAACAGAAGAAAAGTCCCTTTAGCTTCTGCAGCCTTGCTGGCAGACCCAGCCCAGGTGCTGGCAGGCTGAATAGATGCCTGTGCCCACCAGCCCAAGGAGTGCCACGGAACCAAGGGCCCCTCTCCTTCGGTTTTTGGGATCTGGAAAAAAACCCAGGATTTGTCAGTTCACTGATAGACAAGCCCAGCCTGGAGATTGAAGAAGGGAGCAAAAACTAAAGGGAAATCCCCAGGGCAAAGCAGCTCAGGCCTCTTAGGGTAGGCATCCCTGCTGGATGAGAGCTCTTTCCAAGAGCAGGAAGAGTGTGCTGCAGTGTTGGCAGACCCTGTACCCTTTCCTCCACCCCTGGCTGGGAGCAAGGAGTCCTGAGGTCACTGTAGGAGACCTGAGTGTGTGCTGCAGGGTACAGTCCTACCTCCTGTGTAGTAGCCATAGGCATAGAGGAGCCTCCCAACGATCCAGGCAATGCCAAGCCCTGTGGCCACTCGCTGCAGAGAAAGGAGAAGCATTAAAGGCTTTGGAGGCTTGAGCAGGTGCTCAATCTCATTTCACCCCTGGCCAGTTAGTGAGCCAGAGCAAGGATTGTGGAGACAGCTGCTGCTCCAGTGCCTCCAGCAGGTGTTCTAAACTTCCACCTTGACTCTTCATTTAGAGCTTGCTTCAACATGGCTCCCATCTGCCAGATGTGCCTATGCTGCTTCCTTCCCTCTTGAAAAGGAGTCTGTCTTCAGGAAAGATGTAATTTGTCTTTTGATGACAAAGACAGAGATACTGGGTATGGCCTCTCCCATGTGCCTGCCTCCTCCCAAGTTGTCTGCATATTTCAGTTAAAAGTAATCCAGGCTTTTGCTGGCTTCCTTTGGCAGAGCTTGGAAAAACTGGGCTGAAGGGTTTCTTCCCACTCAGCGGCTGGAGGCTGCAAATGCTTTACTTTGTCTAGCAAGGCACCTTTAGGGCAGGGACTATAATAGCTGAAACAGCAGGAATGAGTTTATTACTTGTGATTCTCCTGCAGAAGACCTTCTACAACTAAGTTTTAAGAAGGGGCACTGCTCTTAATGTCTGATGTGGCTACTGAAGGGGCTGTCTTGGCCTTCTGCTGCACACCTTGCCCAGGTCAGGGAGCCAGAGCAGAGTTCTGCATCACTTACCGGGTGGTGGAGTCCACCAGTGCCTAAAAAGAACAGGAAGGCAGGGTAGACTTCCAATCTGAAAGTAAAAGTGAGGAGGTTGTGTTTGTGCTCAGGTTGCTTACAAAGACAAAACTCCAGAAGGACAGAAACTGCAAACATTCCCTGCCAAGGGCATTTTGGGCTCATTACAAGTCTCTGTGCCCAGTGCTGTGGCTGCAAAAGGAAGCACTCATGGTTTTAGGGGCTTCCTCCCAGCCTGTGGCTCTCTCCCAGGACACCCACCCACTCTTTCCATTTTATTCCCTAAGCCACTCTAAACATTCCCCAAGCACCCCTCTGATGTGCTGTTGCAACATGTCTGCAGGAGCTGGGTGGACTTTGGCCTCTCCTCAGGGAGACCTGGGCAGCACAACAGGTCAGCACCTTCTGGAAACAAAATTCCTCATGTCTTAAGATCTACCCCTGAAAGCAAATTGGGAACTGGGGAAGAGGAGATGGCTTCACAGCACCATCCCACACTTTAAGGCAGGGAAGGAGCCAGCACAGCCTTTCTGCTAGGCTCTGCAGGGCTGACCTGGATCAAAGCAGAGGCAGCAGCACCTCTGGGGCTCTGGGCCCTGCCCCTCAGCCCCGTGTGCTCCAAGGCCCCCGTTCAAAGATGTCACTCACGTGTTCTGGTGCGCGCGCTGGATGCAGTTGAATATCTGCCCGTGTTCAGGGTCTGTGCTGTACATGGCTGGGTACTGCCAAAAAATAAACCAGCAGCAAAGCATCAGCAAGTGAGGCCTGCAGCTCCTCTCCCCATACTGCCTGCATGCTTGCAAGAACAACCTGCAGTGGCATGTTAGAGGCTGTGCCTGCCCTGGGGCCCACAAAAGCTCTGTTCAAGGTCACCGCCTTCCTGGAGCTGCTGCCTGGCTGCAGAGGCTTCCCCAGGCCTCAAATCCAGCCCTCTGTGCATCACACACACTGGCTACATCTGCTCCAGTCCAGGAATGGGATCACCTCAACAGGCAGCTGGAGCTGTCCTGGTGCCCACCCCTGCTCATCACTTCCATGAGTGAAGTGGTGAAAGAACAAAGGAGAAGTGATTTGTGCTGAAGCCAAGTGGCACAGCAGCCACTGCATGCCATGGCCCTGACTCACAGTGTCCCCACCCAGCCCACAGCTCTGCCTGCCATAAAGGCTCCCCAATAGATGCTGAGGGAAGGTCACTTTGAAAGACTTGTGACAGGGCACACATGCTTCCCCCTGAGTTTGAGAAACCCTTCTATCACTTCTGAGCCATGACCCCTTTCCCATTTCAAAGGAAAAAGGGCCAAACAGTTTCTTGCCCATCAGTGCTGCCAAGCTCAAAGCCACATGCTTTCAGCTTGATGTCCCAAATCCCAAGCTGTGTTATCCAAATCCCTGGAGCTGCTTTCTGGAGAGCCATGGCAGCTCCATCCCTTCTACATCTATGTGGTGGGGCAAGGAATGTCAGCAAATCACCCCAAACCGATCGAGGTGTCAGCAGACTGGCTCCAACCTTGCCGTGCCCTCTCTGAGCACTCACCTCCACACGGTATTTCTTGCGGGCCTTGCCCACGTTTATGGCGAGGTGCATGACCAGGACAAAGCTGGCGGCCCCGGTCAGCATGACGTAGCCATATTCCTTGGAGAGAACAGCCATGGTGGTGCTGCCAGAGAAAGGGAGCCCGTGAATGTTCTGGGGAAGTGGCAACATGTGATATAGGTGCATGGAAGAGTCGCTGAGCTTGGACCCCAAGAGCTCCCGGCACAGGGACTGGCTGAAGGAATTTGTACCTTTTGGAGCCTGCACAAACCAGGAGTTGTCTGCATAGTTCCTGTTAAGCAAGACTTAAAATCATCTAAGCGTTGGTGGGAAGTGGTGTCTGGAGAACCTTAGTGCAGCCTGGGCCTTTCCAGCCCCAGAGCTAGGGGCCATCAAATGAAGTCAGTTGATTTCCAGCCTGTTCCCCAAGAGAGATGTTTCTTCATGCACTGGGAACCACACCTATGGAACTCCTTGCCAAGGGACATTGTGAACGCAGGCACTTCTCATAAATTCAACAGGAAACTGGGAATAAAGGGTAAACTGGGAATTATAAACTGGCTCAGAAATCCCCTGAGCTGGAAGGAGCATCATCAATGATTAATTTGTACTGCTAAGGTCACCCTTACATAAAATACTAATAAAACCCACCACCACAGCAATGATAACTGGACTTTTGGGTAAAGAGCCATTGGCCAGATGACCAATGTTCTGCCCTGCAGCTCCCAGGAAGCCTCTCAGAGTCACAAACTGGTGAACAGCTCCAACAACACACAGCTACTGGCATTTACAAACATCTGCACCAGTGGCCAGGGGACACCAGGGCCTGCCTGGCTTTTGTTTAATGGTTCTGTGCTCCCTCATGCAGGCCTGAGACAGAAGCATGGGGCAGAAGGTGCATCCTGCAGCCTCTGCCATGCTGCCCTACATTCCACATTCTCATTTTTCCTGCTCAGCAGCCCCCATAAGCTTGCCCTGCTCCACACAGAGCACTCTGGCTCCCTCCCTGCTGCCAGACAGCACAAGGGCCCTTCCCCACAACCATCTTGCACAACCCCAAACGTCAGATGCCTGTCTGGGTGACCTTGGAGGGTGCTGCATGACACAGCCCAGCAGAGACCTCCCTCCAGCACCGAGAGAATTCTCCAATCAAACCCCAGTTGGTGCCTGTCTCCAGACGGTGCCTCCATGATGTAGTGAGGTGTTGGCGTCTCCCTGCACTGACCCACCAGCACAATCTGTCAGTGTGGGGAAAAACAGACCACCTCAGGGAACTGCTGCAAAGTCTTCCTCTTGCACCCCTCACAAGGGATCTTTGGGGACCAGAGTGTTTTATTTCTCATTTGCAGAGGATTATCATCGATGGAGCAAGGTGAAGACAACAGCTAGTTTTGTCCAAAGGAAGTGAGGTAAACAATTATCAGTAAGAATATTAAAACCATGAAGTAATGAAGAAAACCCAGCTGCATGCACCTGTAATTGAGGTTAGAACCTGACAGGTGACACACTGAAAATAGAACATGTAGAGCAGGTTGGTGGTCACACTTCTCCCTTCAAATCACAAGGTTGTTGGAGAATCAGGCATTTTATCTTCCAGCACTAAGTTATAATCTGGGGATTTATTTTGGGAGCAAAGAGTACGGCAAAGCATTAAACCGGGTGTGTCATAAAACTGCTACTCTTACACTACTGGTATCAAAGCCTTTGCTCTCGTAATTCCGTGCCATATAAAGCACTCCAAAGTCAGCAGGACTCCCACGGTCGTTTCCGGATTGTGCTGCCCGGAGCGTTTCAGCAACCTTTGCCCGCAGCTGCAAGGGCTTGGCTGTCACGGTGCACAAGACTCAGTTTCTACCTTTTTACCCTGCGATGTTTCCGGCTGGAGCCACAGACACGAGATTTTGGAGCATGACACGGCACAGAGCGGCCGCACAAGAAGGGACCTTCCCAACTCTGCCACGACACCGCAGCTGCTGTGAGTCAGCAAAGCGCATTAAGGCTCCTTGAACAGACCCACGCGTGGATCCGCACTGGATTACCCGATGTAAACTCAGCCCTTCGAGCCAGCAGAGCGACAAAAGGGAGCCGAGCCCCCTTCCCCCGGAGCCTCCCCCGGCTGGGAGATGTCCACAGCGCTTGCTCCGTTTACCATCGGGACAGGCTGACCCTGGAGCATCCCCCTGCCCCCGGCCCCGCACTCACCCTCGGCGCGGCGCGGAGCAGCCCAGGCGCTGCGGGACGGAGCCGGGACGGAGCCGGGGGCGGCGGGGCCGTGCCGGCCGCAGCACCGCCCGCAGGCGGGGCCGGCGCTCGGCCAGGCGCGATCAGTCTCCCTGCCGCGAGAGAAGAGTGGGACACGGATTGATGAACCGCTGCCGAGGGATTTGCCGTGACGCTGTCCCCCAGCGCACACACATCGTTATGCTCAGCCTTTCCCCCACTCCCTTTCTGCCATTTTACCCGTTGTGAAAGGGTAAAAGAGCTCTCAGCCTCATTCGCAGTCTACGCTTTAATGGCTCCGAGTTTGGTGATTGACACCGTGCTTGCTGAAATCTCCTGGTTTCCCCTCTTACCTCACCAGATCCTACAGCGTGTTTCACAAGTGGAGTTGCTGTGCTGGGTCGTGTAAGCAGACACTTCCCTTGGCAATTCCCAGCGCTGGTGGTAACAAGGATATTAAATCTCCCTGTAGATGTAACTCTGACACTTTGGTATGGACACACAACCCATTTCCAAGAATATTTGGAGAGCGTGTAAGCAATATTTTTACTTTATAAAACATTCCAGTTTTAGGAAATATCAGAGTGTGACACAAAAGCAGAGCTGGACTTTGCAGTTCTGTAAATGTTCACAGAACAGTGGAGAGGCACAGGTGGTCTGGCTGCACTGCAGGAGCACAAAGGGTTCCTTTCTGTAATCAGTGTAAAGAAGGGAAAGAAAAGAAGAACCAGTGAGATCCTGGATTCCTAAAGTCCTGGTTTCAATCTCTTTGCCCTTCCAAAGCAGGAAGTTCTTAGATTCCCTGGGGCTCCAGCTGTGGAGGCTGATCCCTTTAAGCCCTGGTGGGTTTTCTAGCCAGGAAGGGCCTTGTGACCTCCTTGGCTACAGCACAGTGGCAGGACCTCTCCCGTATTTCAGTACCTTTTCAAGGCAGTCCTTATGTCCCTACTGTTCTGTGGTCCCAAGATAGGGTGGAAGTGGAAATGCCTGGCACTGTGCCTCTCACACCTACCCAAAATTAATATTTCACCAAAATCCTGAATCAGAATGGCAGAAGAAGACTGGGTAAAAAACAGCAAGTGAAACTGGGAGCACAGGAAGTGAAACTGGAGCACAGATACTTCCTTCTCTTGTAGTTTTATTTCACTTACCAAAAAAAAAAAAAAAAAAAAAAAAAAAAAAAAAATCTAAGATGGAACAGCATGGGAATTCAGGCAGGAAGGACCTGCCCTTGGTTCCCACAATGGGAGTTCAGAAGGGCTGATTCTAAGTGGCTGTGTCTTCCTCCTACTCCTCCTCCTCTTCCTCTCCCTCTCCCTTTGAGGCATGGGCCTTGTAGATGACAGCACAGACGCCAGCCAGCCAGGCTGCCATGGTGCCAGCAAGGAATATGCAGAAGCCCACGAGGCACAGAAAGACATAATCCTGCTTGTACAGCTGGGTCAGGCAGCTGAAGTGGAGCTGTGCCTCTGCTGCTGGCATCCTTAGGGCACGCAGGCCTGCTGGGGTGTAGCAGGTGATGTTGTCAGCATCTGCAGAGAGATGAGCAGAAGTACGACTCTCTAGCCTGGATCATAATTTAATGAATAGGAGTCCTGGTAGAAAAATTATGGGAGTGCTTGCTAAAAGCTTGAAAAATAACTGCAGATGTCATGCCCTCCCCCACTCCCCCTGGCTTGGGTAAAATCTGACAGCCAAACTCATGCTAAACCTGTGCTAAACCCTTGCCAAACCACAATTCCTAGGTTGCCAGAATAGTTTTTGCAGTGTTGGCTCCACAGGATAATATTGCCCACTGAATTATGCCACTGTTGGCAAACTGCTATCCCTGGCCTCCTTATCTCTGCTGATTGAGCACTTTCATCTTCATATAAGAGCACCTGTGTTTGTTGGTTTTTGTTTTGTTTTTTGTTTAATCTCAAACACCTTCTGAAGTGGTGGAGCCTAAATTATGCTGGAATAATGAGGCTGCTGTGTGTTTGACAACAAGGGTGGTTTGCAGTCAGGCACAGCCTTACCTGCTCTGTGAGACAAGCAGAGGCAACTCATCAATGATTCAGTTCCACTGAAATAACAACCATACCCTGTCATATTGCAATATCTGCAGTGATAAACAGATGCTGCCTGCTCCTTTTCAAGTTAGTGAAGGATCAGTGTGGTACAGGGTGGCCCCTCAGCCATCCTCTGCAGGTTTTGAGCCCCATGGTCACTGTGGTGGGCACAGGCTGGGCACCGCTGGATGGGCAGGATGGAAGAGCCTGAGGGAAGGGGAGCACTGCTCCATGCAAGGGATGGAACAGGAGTGGTGGAGGGGAACAAGGCTTGGGGGATTTTTATTGCATTACACTGTATTGTATATGGCTGAGTGATGTTGTTCATGCTGATCTCTCCACTGGTCTTGAGTAAAACTGAAGAGCTTTTATCTCTCTGTTACCCAGATCCATCCAAACTTGGGCAGCTTTGTGTCAGCCCCCAGGCTGAGCTCAAAACTCTGATGCACAGGTATTTCTGAAGGTCAGGAGCCTTTCTAAAGGCCAGGCTGGGGTCTGCTTGCAGCAGATTCCAGGGCTCTGTCCCAGTATCTCTCTGGCCTGGAACAACCCTCAGTTTAAAGCTGCCTTTCCTACTCCTCCCCTCCCCAACAGCCTGCTTTGGGCTTTGAGCTTTGAGCTTTATTCTCCTGTTGCAGGGTTCAGTGGGTTATCTTCCATCTCACTGCTGAGAGCTGTACTTTATTCCACTGTTCCATAACTGCATGTGGGAAAAAAACCCCTTTATTGTCTATAAGGAGCTTACTACATCTAATAAAGACACTGAGATGTCTTCAATTCTGTCCTAACACCAGCTTCCAGCTGCCCTTCCCTTTTTCCCCCCTGGGGCTCTTTTGTGGCCCTTTCTTATTCAGACTTTCTCAAACAATTTCTCTCTTGCAGCTCTCTCTCACCATTGTGCCCTGCATTACTAAAACCAAAGCTTTTCTTGTTCACGGGTGCTGTGCTGTGTCTCTTTCTGGAAAAACTAAGTCCATGTGCTGCAGCTGCAAAGCAAAACATCACCCTTGGGACCAGTGTTTTTATGGGAAAGGGAACTGGTGATTGCTCTGCCTCGGCCTTTCCAAGGCTTGGTTATAGAATTTCTCAGTATGATGGGCAGCAGCTGACTTTGGGGTGGAGACAAGGCAGGAAATTCAGAGCAATGATTTTCCCATTGCACATCTCCCTGGAGCTGTGTTGGGCTCCTCGTTCTTGGCGCTGCAGCCATGGGGTGCTGTGCAGGCACAGAAACACCTGAGGCTGGATCCAGGTGTTTTAGGGAAGCAGCAGTGTCCCAGCTGCACACCACACCTCCCTGGCTGCTCTGGGGATGTGAACAAGTGGGACTCTTCATGGGTGTAACCCAGCTGCTCCCAAGCCTGGTTTGTGTGGCAGCAGAAAATGGCATGCAATGGCACAGCCCCGTGAACTGAACTTTTAGGAAATAGAGCAGAGGGCTCTTTCTGTTCCACGCAGATCTGTGCTCGCACAGCCCTCACCTGGAAAATGCACGTCACTCTCCATCATCCAGGTGATGAAGTCCAAAAAGGAACAGTTGCAGTGCCACAGGTTGTCACTGAGCCCCAGAAGCCTCAGGTTGGGCAAGTCCTGGACAGTGCTGGTGTCCAGGAAGGTTAAGCCCGTCTGGCTCACATCCAGGTGCCTTAGCCAGGTGTTGTTGGCAAAAGCATCCTTCTCGATGGCCACAAGGTTGGGATTGTCCGAGATCTTCAGCACCACCAGGCTGAGGAGGTGGGAGAAGGTGCTGAAGGTGACCTGTGTGAGGTTGTTGAAGCTGAGGTCCAGATAGACAAGCTTGGCCACACCAATGAAAGTGAAATCCAGGTCATCCCCCAAGAGGTTCTTTCTGCAGTCCAGATAGACCAAATCAGCCAGGAAGCTCAATTCCAGTGCTGGCAGGTACGAGACGTTGTTTGCTGCCAGAATCAGCTGCCTGGTGTCCAGAGGGATGTCCACAGGGAACTCCTGCAACTGCTGCCCGGTGCAGTTCACCTCCAGGTACTGGCAGCTACACCTGCTGGGGCAGCTGATCCCCTGTGATGCCATCCCCAGAAGAAACACGAAGTTCAGGGACCACGGTCTACCTGAAGGAGACATGGTTTGAGACCTTCCAGGCCACTTAGCCTTTGGTGTTCTGCAAGCAGCCCTACGGCAGCTGCACTGCCCTCCCAGCCATGCCGAGGAGGTGTCTGGCTGCAAGGCTGTCGGGAAGCACTTTGTGGCTCACCTGAGCCCTTGGCAGAGTGCCCAGCTGGAAACCGAGCCTGGCTTTTACATGGGCAAGTGCAGAACAGTGGCTGGAGTGTCTGTGTCTCACACCCGGTGCCAGGTGACACCTGCGTGGTGTCAGTGGCTTGCAGAAGCTGCCTGTTTTCGGGGACACTGCTGTGACCTTGCTGAACTGCTTCCAGCTGAGTGGATGTGCGGGAAGCTGCGCGTGGTGTGGGAGCATCAAAACTTTGTGGGGATAGTGTGAACAGCCCAAATTTTGTCAGAAATGGTGCCACACTGCAAGGGGTGGTACTGGTTAGGCAAGAGTCCTGTGCAATGCTGGGCTGGCTTTGTCTCCTTTCAGGAGCCAGGAGGTTTTATCCCATGTAGTAGGAGTAATGTGTCCAGGTCTGGGGATCGTGGCACAAGATGTGGCGATGTTGGAGAGTCCAGAGAGGCCATGGAGATGCTCAGAGGGCTGGAGCAACTCTGGAGTGGGGACAGGCTGAGCTGGGGCTGTGCAGCCTGGAGAGGATTCTGGGGACGCCTCACCTAAAGGGATTTTGGAAAGCAGGAAGAGAGACTCATTACACGGACAAGAAATGAAAGAACCAGGGGGAATGGCTTCAAACTGATAGAGGGCAGGTTTAGAGTGGATGTGAAAAACGCCAGTCATTTGGTTTTTAAAATTTTAAAAGATTAATAATAATGAAATGGTTATAAAAATAGTACTGCAATTAGAGTAAAGTCTAGAGTTAGGACAAGTACAAGACAATAAAAAACAAAGAATTACGATGTCAGGATGCTCTCTGACACTAAGTCACGAAAAGCATCTCTTATGAACAAAGGAATCACCCTTAAACCAATACACTTGCTGCATATTCGTATATCCTTCATGGTTATGCATTGATTCTATTCAAAACAAGAAACTCTGTTGTAAGTCAACTATTTCTATTAATGCCCATTAATTAGCTTCTTCTGATAAAAAGCCATAAATTCCTCTCCTTTGGAAGATTTAGGTGTTCCTCGAAGCGAGTATCTCATTCCTAAAAAAAAAAAAAACCTCCCTCCCACATACATAGTCTTTATTTGAGCTACTAAAATCTTAATTTTAACTACAAAAGCACAACTAATCAATAGAACATAATACATATAGTAACTATCTGCGTAGAGCCATATAATATGCATTTTTTACAGTGGATATTAGGGAGAAACTCTCCCCTGGGAAGGTGATGAGGCACAGGGTGTCCAGAGACGCTGTGGCTACCCCATCGCTGGAAGTGCCCAAGGCCAGGTCGGACAGGGCTTGGGCAACCTGGGGTTGTGGAAAGTGACGCTGCTCATGTCAGGAGGAAAACTAGGTGAGCTTTAATGCTCCTTCCAGGGATTTTATGACTCGTGCAGAGACAGCCCCGCCCGGCAGCACCGCGGGGACGCGGCCGCCTCACGCCGCCCCTCCCCTCACGGCCAACGGCCCGCCGGGCCACGCCCACCCGCGGCAGCGCGGCCGCGGATAGGCCAGGAGAGGGCGGGAACGCGTTAAGCCCCGCCCCCTGATGACGATACGATCTCTGATAGGTCAGCGAGGGGGCGGGGCGGGGCAAGGCGGATTTAAACAGCGGGCGCGCAGCGGCGCCGCCGCCGTGTCCCGCCGCCGCCATGGAGACCATGACCTTCCCCCGCTACAGCCCCGACGACATCATCAGCTACCTCCGCTCGCACATCCTGCAGGGCAACGAGGCCCGCAACCTCGTCAAGGGCGACGTGTTCGGCAGCCCCAGGGTGCGTGAGGGGGGCGCGGGGCGGCCCGGCTGGCGGCGGGGCTGGGCCGGGCTCGGGGCCTGCCGGGAGGCGCGGTGGTGTCACCGGCAGCGCGGCCTGTCTTCCCCAGCTCTGTGGGGACTCGGTAAAACGGCCACGGCCTCTCGTTCCGACATCCTGCCGGGTCCGTTTAGTGCTTTTAAACTCTTTCCATCACTCTATGCATTTAGTGTTAGCCAGTGAAGAAGAGCGGCTTTAAAGAGGAGTTGATGCCTCCGAGTGGTTCTTGCTGCTGTTATTATTTGTGTTTCAGCCTGCGGTGAGAAGAGTCTGCCTTGTTTGGATGGTTTTTAAGAAGCAAAGTCGATCACAGATTAGTGCTATAAATTAAAAATTGTTTGGCTTGTGATTTTTTTCCCCCCCTTCATTTTAATAATCTAATTAAGGGCACTCATTGCTACAGGATTATAATTTCTGTGACCGTTTTTAGGCTTTTGGCACTGCTTGGTTTGGAAACTGCTCAGCAAGCTGCAGTGTAATGAAAACCAATGCCAAGGCTGTAACTGCTCGAGCTGACTACTGCCTCTTGAAACTGAATTATCAGCAAATAATGCTTGAACTGAGAGATGCTGGAAAGCGAAACTTTGTTGTCATGTAAAATCAGCTTTCGTATGTTAAAAACGGAATGCTTTCATGGCCTGGTGTGAGAGCCTGGAGTAATCAAACATATACTGAGTCATGTTCTCTCTTCCTGCAGCTTGATGTTTTACACATGATTTACCTGAGAATCCTGCAGAAAGTGTGTGGGATCCGACTGGAGCACGCCTACATGGTAGGGCTGCCTGTGGCAGGGGTGATGGGAAGTGAAAGGAAAAGAATATTGGACTTACCTGTTCTTTGGGATGCTAAGAGTGCCAGAAATGTCTACGGTCCAGGAGGGACAGGACACCATGCCTTGAAAATCCATTCTGGGTTCCTGCCTTTGGCCATGGCTGGAGGAGGTTGGACTAATATGGAAGGAATGTGACTATTGCTTTGGATATTTGATCATCTCTACTCCTCCATTAGCTGAGGGGAAAGTGAGGAGGGACTGATACCTAAATTGATTAACAGTTAATTTATCCACTGCCTCTGTTAGGCAAGAACTGATCCTTTAAAAAGAGAGTAAATGGTTTTGTCTCATGGCTTTCCTGGATAAATGGAAATGTGCACAAGGTAACTCTGTTCTTCCCAGGCAGTGCCATCAGCTGCTGTGCTGTGAGGTTTAAAATGTCAGAGAAAGGGGACAGTGTACCAATTCATTCTCCTCCTGACTTCTTCATGAAGCAGTTGAGTGTATAAATTTTGGGGTGTTTCAAGAAGGAGCTTCTTGCTGGTAGCTGTATAATGTGCTGCACAAGTTATTAACAAAATAAAACAGTTTAGATTCAGTGCCAGAGTGTGTAACATTGCTGCTTTAGTTATTGTATTTTTATGTCTTTTCTAGCCAAATTTGATCCTTAAAATAGTGTGCTGATTAACTTGACGACACTTTTAGCCTTTAATATGTGTCCCATGTGGATGGGAAGATTATCATCCCTGTTTTTAATCTATCGGAATTATTTTATGCTGTGGAAAATGCTGCATACTTTTTGTTTTAAATATTCTTTCCTGACACTCTTTTTTACTCTTTAGATGCCACTCAACGTTGACATTATGTACCCACAGATCTATGAAGGCTTTCTACCTGTCTGTAATTTGTATATTCACATGTAAGTAGAAGATGCTTGTCTTGTGGGCAAATGTTTTGTTTTGCTGGGCAAATGTTCTGGGATGAGAATCTGGGATCTATTTTGTAGCAAATGTGTTTTTGGGCATGAACTGAGCCATGGTTAACAGACCCAAGTCTCAGTCACTGCAGCTGAGGTTGTGCTTTGCTCTCCTTGCAGGGAAAGCTTGCTGCCCATGTGCCGGATTAGTGACTTCCAAATCGCTGATGTTTTGAACCCAAGTAAGCAAGTGCCTTGTAATCCTTGTGTTTGCTGGGTGCTGCGTGGTATTCCAGGTGGTTTTTCTCCTTGGGCATAGCCAGATGGGCATCTAGTGTGGAGAAGTGTCCTTGAATTTCTGCTGCTCTTTTGACTCTGACTCTTAAACAAGCTGGTTCTAGGGGACAGTTTTATTCCTTATGTGGTCTGGTGCAGGTCAGTAACTGAGGGCAGCTTTGAATGCTATGAATCTGATGGGCTGCTGGTCTGGAGGTGGGCTGTGACATACTTATAACAGTGTAATAATAGATGGGGATGAAAATTACCCTGACAGCTCTGGAGTACTTTGGGATTTCTTAAACTGATGCTTGTGCTCCACTCCTTTCAATACCCAATTGTGATTCTGCCACAACACAGACAACTTGGAAAATGCTGCTCTGAAGAAATTTTTCACTTCTAGATCTGTCTTGTCTAAGACATTCAAAGCTTTTGTAATCATCTTTCAGAAAGTTTGCTTGGAATAAAGATGGAAAGTCCCTTCAGTTCAAATTGCTGCCTTCAGTTCAGCTGATAGCTACAGAGAGAGGCTCTCTCTTCAGAGCTGTAGTTCAAGATTGACACTCTTTCTCCCTGGCTTCTGTTTGAATGGGAAGGCTGTGTGTTAACAGCCTTTTCTCCCAAGTGCCATTATTAATTTGTTAAATGACACAGAATTGCTAAGTGTTGGTAACCAGCTTGATGCTGGTTTTTGTGTAGTCTGAAATCTTTGCAAGCTGAGTGGGGGAAGAACGAATTTGGATTGTGTTTTGTAATTTCTGTCTCCTTGAGTTACACTTGACCCAACTTTTTTTAAGCAATTGCAATGCTTTTGGAAACCAGCTCAGTGAGTTCTTGCAATTCCTGTTTCAGAGACGAAAAGGACTGTTCGCTTCTTGAGTGGCATCCTCAACTTTGTGAACTTCAGGGAATTTCGGCGTGAGGCCTACTTGGAGCTACAAATGAGCTATGTAAGATTAGGTGCCGTTTTATTCCAGATGCTTGTAAAAGTATGATTGAGATTAACCTAGAACTAGGAGCATGAAGATTGAGGTTCAACTTCAGGTTTATGTAACATATTGGGATGTTAAATGTAGCCAAGTAATTCAGGAAGGTACTGGT